CCTTCCCAACCTCTTGACAGGTATGACTCTTTGACTGGTGTTCCTTCCTATCAACGGGCTCTGGCTTTTGAAAAGGGAAGCATTCTGTTCAACATTGGAGCACTATATACGCAGATTGGGGCACGGCAGGACCGGACCACTGAGGAAGGAATTAATCGTGCCATCGATGCCTTCCAAAAGGCAGCAGGTGGGTTTTCATTGGGTGGGTGGAATAATTATTTATGTTTGATTAACCGTATGGGCAAATGAAATGAAGATCTTTTTCATTTTTTCTGAAGAATGGTCTAGGCCGGAAACGTCAGCCTTCCTGCTCCTCTGATGCTGCTTGGCCTCTGTGTTCATCCAGCTCTACACCTTGTTATCTCAGATTCTCCAGCATCTGCAGTTCCTACTATCTTTGTGAAATAATGATTTATGCTGATCAACATGCAATGATTTCCATTAAGATATACATATGCTACAACAGAATGATACAGTACTTAAAAATCTGTGTTGTAATTTCAGAATCCTTTATCCCAACTCTAAAATAAAGCTTATTTTGTTTGGTATTGGCACTTAGGCACTAAAAACAATCTATTCTTCAGAGACCGAAATTTGTTAGATCCACATGTTTTGCTTTATATTTTGCATTTACTCTGATAGAGTTTTCTATTGTGGCATTGGCTGAAGTATGCTGATAGCCATTGGAAATCATTGAAGTAGCGCAGACTGGAGTTGCTAGTTGAGACTGCGGAATCCTTGAAGCAGGTGATTCCATGGGAATTAGCCAAAAAATTGACTCTTCCCAAAAGCAATTTCCCTGTGCTTCAATTCTTACAAAAATGTCAATGAAGATCAGATAAATCAGAGGATTAGGCTTAATAGCCATTCAGAAAAAAGAAAGGGTTAAAAGTCTAGTCTAACTCTTGGATAACTATTAAACTGGCTGTTGGTTTATCACTGATTCCCCAACTTCACCTCCACACTCCCCCACCCCATCAGGTCCCGAACATATTGGAGCCACACAAACCCTCCACTTCTTTCCACAGCTCGACCTAACCCAACTGGACCCTAACCTATTCTACAGGAGCCAAACACCCAACCTGACCCAGTGCTACTGGACCTACCATTCTCCTGGCTGAGCACAACCTGACCTGCTGGAACTGAGACACTTTTTCAATCTGACCTGATCCAACCAGTCCCCTGATTACCCTAAGACGTAACCCCATACCTACAAACCTAGATAATAGTGTGGAGCTGGAGGAACGTGGCAGGCCAGGCAGCATCAGAGGAGCAGGAAAGTTGACGTTTTGGGTCGGGACCCTTCTTCAGAAATGGAGAGGGGGAAGGGAGCTGGGAAATAAATAGAAAGGAGGGGTGGGGCTGGGGACGGTCAGTGGGATGGTGATAGGTGAATGCAGGTAGGGAGTGGTGGGGTTTGGTCAGTGGGATGGGTGGAGTGGATAGGTGGGAGAAAAGATGGACAGGTTGGTCAGATAGGGAGGAGAAAAAGTGCTGGTTGAGGGTGTGGATCCTGCGCAGAATGAAATACAGAAGGAGTCTTTTGCAGGTCTGGGAGAGGGAGGCTGTAAGCTGGGATAAGATTGACTGTAGCGCCAGAAGATGCCGACGCATTGCTGAAACTAATCCCCACCACTCCCTACCTGCATTCACCTATCACCATCCCACCTACATTCCCCAGCCCCACGTCTTCTCTCCCTATTTATTTCCCAGCTCCCTTCCCCCTCCCCATTTCTGAAGAAGGGTCCCAATCCGAAACGTCAATTTTCCTGCTCCTCTGATGCTGCATGGCCTGTTGTGTTCCTCCAGCTCCATGCTGTATTGTCTCTGACTCCAGCATCTGCAGTTCTTCTATCTCTGACCTACAAACCTAGTACCTTTGGAAGCTTTAACTCCTGAAATAGGGCAGCAACTGTCCTTTTGAAAAAGAAAAGGTGTTTCTTGGCCTTCAAATATTACTGCTTCGTTGATTTGAATTTCTCCCAAGTTATCACCAATGGATGCATTTTGGATAGTCCAGATTCAAAATCAAAGTTTCTTTGACAAACGAGTTAGTAATTTTAAACAGGATTACTGCCAGTCAAATCTTTTACAACAGTAATCACAATATCTGTGCCATTAAATTGCCAGCTGAGCCTTTGGCAAGCTGCTATGAAATGGCACTAGTGAGAAGAAAAATGTCGGATGGTAGTATGTCCAGTAGGCTCTAGGTCAAGAGCAGAAGTGTTAGCCCTGGCCAAGACCTAACTTCCTAAACAAAAGGGCATAAATATGATCATGAACTTGCCAGAGTGTCATAGAGATCTACAGCAGAGAAAAAGGCCCTTTGGCCCATCACGTTTACGTCAGTCAAAAATAACCATCTAGTTATTCTAATCCCATTTTCCAGCACTTGGTCTGGTGCCTTTTATGGCCTGGCATTTTAAGTGCACATCTAAATACTACTTAATGTTATGAAAGTTTCTGGCCGTACCACCCTTACAAGCAATAATTCCAGATTCCCGCCACCATCTGGGTAAAAACGTTTTTCCTCACATCTCTAAACCTTCTGCTTACCTTAAATCTACGCCCTGGTCATTGTCCCTCGCTATATAGAATTGGCTTATCATCCACTTCAATTGTTAGTACTTTACTTCCTCTTAACGAAGTGACAATCAAGATACAAAGTATAGCAAGCTCTTCCACTTTCTTCAAACTGGAGACTAGTTGGTCTCCCTAGTTTTGCAGTGGCCAGGAGCCAGTTGATATTTTCTATGTAACCTGTTCAGAGATTTTATGACGCACTTTGGAACAGGTCGAACTTGAACCTGGATTATCTGGCCGAGAGGTAGAGTCACTGCCAAAATAGCCCTGCCAGGGTCCTAGGTGGTTTCCCAGGGTAGTAATTTCACCTGCAGCTGCTTTTCCAAGGTTAACAAGGCCTTGACTTTCTGCTCAAGGAAATCACTTAGAAAAATATTTTCTGGTCCATCAGATTAGCGGTCAGTATTAAAGGCAGTTATTGTAATGTAGTTCAGTTGTAATTTAGGACCAAGGTAAAATATTGTCAGTTTATTTTTTTTAACGTTTCCATTGCTGTACTGACTTGAGACATATTGAATCATAGAATCCCAATATTGTGGAAACAGGCCATTCGGTCCATTGTGTCCACGCCGACCTTCTGAAGAGCATCCCAAGCAGCTCGACCCTCCCATCCTACCTCTGTGACCCTGCATTTCTCATGGCTAACCCACCTAGTCTGAACATCACTGGACACTGAGCAATTTCGCATGACCAATCTACCTCTTTGGACTATGGGAGGAAACCGTAACACCTGGAGGAAACCCATACAAACTCCACACAGTTGCCCAAGGGTGGAATTGAACCCAGGTCCCTGACCCTGTGAGGCAGCAGTGCTAACCGCAGAGCCACCATGCAGCCCCAAAATTGAATTCCAATTTTACCTTCTACCATGGGTGGGATTTGAACCCATGTCCACAGAATGACATAACCACTACACCACAGCCTCTCCACATATGACTTTTACATTTCACAGATCTCATGTTATAGAAGTGCTTGACAAAAAGAGCTTCCTGTACATGACATCAGTTGTGCATCATTAAAGGTGGGATTTGGCCCCCCAAAAGATCTATCACAAGTTACTTGTGTTTTTGCTTCTCTGCGCTAGCTATTTGCTAACAGCACCTGCTGTAGCTAATTTAAACTGAAATTTGTGCTGCCATCACAAACACTGTTTCATAGTAGGACATTCCAATGCATTTGAGTTAAGTAATTTTACAGTCTTCAAGCCTTGACAGCAAGTACATCTTAAACTTATGATGAGATCTAATCATCAATAATGGAAAGGGAAACCTGTTCTTACCTTTTTTAAAAATTTTTAGTTATCTCCTCTTGTAGACTGTCAGTAGCATTCTTGCCTTTGAGTCAAAAGATTGAGAGTTCAAGTGCCACTCTAGGACATGAGCATATAATCAAGGCTGTTGTTCCAGTGCAGTACTGAGGTAGTGCTGTATTGTTGGAGGTGTGTTTTATTTGGATGAAGTTGTTAAGCTGAAGCCCCATTTTCCTTCTAAGGTGGAAACAAATGGTTCCACAGCACTATTTTTGAAGTAGGGGAGATATTTTTGAAGTAATGTCAGAATCCCAAAAATATGTCTTGTTTGAGGGAGTGACCGCACTTGCTGCACAAATTCTTTAGCCTACTTCCTACATTACCGTTGTGACTAAGTTGTCTGAGCTCCAGTTATAAAAATACCAGTTCAAGCCACCTTCATTACTTAAGTAACTACAGCTGTTCCACAGTATACCCTCGCTTAGGGCCGAGCCCCCAAATTTAAACGTTGACTTATAGTTAAATCTTAACTCATAAATTTGTTTGTATTTACATTTTAAGCTTTTTAAGAGTTGGTGCGTTGAGTGAATCTCAATCTCCAACACTCCATTCAAGTCACACTTAGTTTTTATGGAAATAGTTTTTTGAACAGGCATGCTATGACAGGGACCATTGCATCTATAATGGGAAAATGGATTGATGCTTAAAGGGAGGCATGAGAGCTAACAACCAGTTAACACTTGCTGATGGGTTGAGTAGCCAATTCCTGTGCTAAAAATGTATGTAGTTCTTTGATTAAGCAAAAAGTTCTCTTGCTGATCTGGGCACTTTCACCACCAAAGACAATATAGTTTAACTGGTAATTAATCTCGTTAGTTGCATGTAGCAGCTTGAGGTGTGTCACTTGTATACATAAAAGTGACTCACTTCCAAAGTACTTAATTGGATTTGAAGCATTTTGGGGCATGATTGATGAAAGTTATATTAATGTAGGTTATAGAAGGCATTTTTTTTTCCTCCAAGGATCAGCTATCATATTCTAAACACTACTTATGTTGTGTCCTGTAATTATAATGCTAATATATCATGTTCAACTTCAGGTGCATTGAACTACTTAAAAGAAAACTTCTTCAATGCACCAAGCCTTGATATGAGCACTCCATCCCTCAACATGTTGGTCCGTCTGATGATTGCACAAGTACAGGAATGCGTCTTTGAAAAAGTGGTTGTGGCGGGAGTTAAGGATGAGTTCTTAACACAGTTACAGTGTGCACAGGAAGCTGCAAGGGTAAGAGATGAAAAATAATATTTGCAGAGATGTGTCCCTTCTTATACTGTCTATGCTTATATTGGCACTAACGTTTGCCATCACTGTGAATGAATTGCAAAAGAACCAATGACAACCTATTAAAAGTGACTTGAGAGTAAATGTGGTTAAAATAGTTGCTTGATGACCAGTGTGAACTGAATGGGCGTTCCCCACAGAGCAAAATATCTGACTGTATTACTTTTTAAACAGGTCAATAAGTAATTGTCCTGTACCTTTTCAAAGATCTTAATTGATTTAAGAAGTGTTTTGCATATGCCTTATTTGTTTGATCCAAGAATGGGACTTCAAATGGCGACAATGCGATTGGACACTTTTAAAATGTATTCAGTGAGTGATATGTCTAATTTATAATGAAATCCCTAATTTATTGGATTGATTCTATTTTGCTGGTGCTCCCAGCTCATAATATGCATGCCATGTGATCGGCAGCAACTATCACCACTGCTACCATCATCCTCTGGAAGTCCTAAAAGTTTGAAAATTTGAATGCAAAGGTAATTCCCTTCAAATCTGATATCGTTCTTAAATGTGTTTTCCAGTAGCTTGATAATCAGAAGCAGAAACTTAGATGCTGCTTATTTTGCTATTTTTATACATTATGCAACCCCTTAGCATGAAGTTTCTGAAGCTATTTGTATTACTCTGTGGCATTACCAGAAGAAATGTAGATTTGGTTTTGCTGTCCTGAATCATTATTTTACTGTTGTTTAGGTGGCAGATGTATACTCCTTGGTCTATCAGACAATGATACAACCCCCAGTGAAAAACTATGTTCCATTCTCTTGGACAACCATGGTTCAGGTGAAATCCGAGTATTTCAAGGCAATTTCACACTATTATGCAGCAATCGCACTCTGTGACCATATAAGTAAGTATTGTGACAAAATCTGATATAGTTCTTTTATGATTTACTATGTAACTTTAAAGCTTACTACATAAGTTTATAATTGTTCATGTAAGGGGGAGGCGATGGCCTAGTGGTATTATCGCTGGACTGCTAATCGGCAGAGACCTAATGTTCTGGGTGCCTGGGTTCAAATCCCACCATGGTAGAATTTGAATTCAATAAATATCTGGAATTAGGATTCTAATGATGACCATGAATCCATTGTTAATTGTTGGAAAAACCTATTGGGTTCACTAATGTCCTTCAGGGAAGGAAACTGCCATTCTTACCTGGTCTGGCCTACATGTAACTCCAGACCCACAACAATGTGGTTGACTCTTAGGGATGGGCAATAAATGCTGCCTGGCCAGTGACGCCCTCATCCTGTGAATGAAAAAAAAGTTGGTGTACAGATTGTTGAGGCGTTGTTTATAATCTTCCAAAATTCCTTTGATTCTTGAATGTTTCCAGTGGATTGGAAAATCATGTATTACTACACCTGAAAGAAGGGAGACAGGAAGCAGAAAGCTATAAGCGAGTTAACCTTGCACCTGTCTTAGGGAAATTGCTAGAATCAATTATTGAGGGTATAGCTGAATGCTCAGAAAATAATTGTGATCTGGCAGAGTCAGTATGGTTTTGAGAAATTGTGTTTAATTAGTTATAACCTTAAAAACAAGGGGCATCACTTTTAAGATTGAGATGAAGAGGATATTTTTCTGAGGGTTGTGAGTCTTTGCCTGAAAAGCATTCAATGACTTCATTTGCAACACTTTTTGTGGAAAAGAATGCCAACGTTTGATAGATTCTTAACCTATGACACCTTTGAAAGGTCATTGGAGAGGAATCCGGATTTAAGGTCATAATTGGATCAACCATAAACTTATTAAAATAGCAGAGCAGGCTGGAGGGCCAAACAGCCTATTCCTACTCATAAATACATCCAAAGATATGAATTATAAGAGTCATTCTACATGCAGCAAGTGCACTTGGGTGTGCTATAATTGCAAGTTACTAAATTTGGAAGGAAGTCCACTTAAACTATATATTAGGATTCCTTCAAGTTTTTTTTTATCAATACTACACACCTACATGGTGCAGATAGAGTAACTTTGGAATAGACTAAGGTCACAGGGACCATCTCCAATGTAATACAAGCTAGAAAGTATCTGAAGCATGAGTGAGAAGGGGCAATGCATTTAGTCACTGTTGTTATAATCTTCTACCCTCTACCTACTCTGCTGTCAGGGATGACAGTTACAAGAAGTACTGAGATGTTTAAAGTTCAAATTAAATGCTAATTTATTGATGGGGTTTGAACAATACAGCGCAATATTACAAGAAACCATACATTCAAACTCCCAGTAATCAGTTACTTCCCGCTAATTTATGCCTCAGTATCAGACCAAGCTGCCCTGACTTAAGCATAGAATGACCTCTTGGAACTATCATTATACCTTTTCTTCTCAATAAAGGGGAGGCTGTTTCTTTGACAAGATTATACTGGTCTATCAAAATATGCTTTCAGTTACAACTTTTTAATGGGGCATATAATTTTTCAAACCATTGTATTAAAAGCTTCTTCAACCAATAGCTTATTTTTAAACCAGTTTGGTAACTTACATTCATCTGTTGCTTATTTTCTCTAGATATGGCTGACACTGGTTATGGCACCATTTATTGCCTATCATTAATTAACCTTGAGAAGGTTGCATTGACTTTGAGAATCTTTACCTGTATCAGTTACTCCTCTTACCTGATAGCGCGCATGTACGCGTTTTATGACTACGGTTCAAGTGAACAATCCAAGCATTTTGAATTAGTGACTTCTACAAACTATCACTTGGAGAATGAAAAACCGTTTATTTGACAAAGCATACAAACGAAACATGTCTTCTAGTTCATCTGTGTTCCAAAAGGAGATACCATCAATGAATGTCAGTTTGTGTTTGTCTTTTATGCAGCTTTCAAAACGCCCAAGATTCTTTGTGCCAACTGAATTGGTGTTTTTTTTTTTTAAAAAAAAAAGTCAATCCCAGACAAGGATGGGCTCGATCTTAACTGATTCAGTAGAAGTGAGTCCATACCTTGCTTTCTTGACCTGATTGATGTTATATGGATGTGCATCTCCATTTCCCTAAAATTTCTATGGAGTTGAGCCAGCTTCCTACAGATTTGTGGCTCATTACCCTTCAGGGGACTTGTGAACCATGAACTGGATGCAGGAACCTTTCAAAACATGACTTCAAGAGACTTTGCCCATGCCAGCTCCTGTCCCCCGCCCATTCCCAAAGGGCCCTCACAGCAGCTTCAGACCACCTCATCTAATATGTATACTCTATACAGAAACGATAAACCCTATGTATAGGAATACTTGAAAACCAGCTATTTGAAACTTAAAATAAATTACTGCTTCAAGATTCTTACAAAAGAATCTTCCAATCAACCAGACGTTTAAGATAGTAATAACAGAAACTATAATCACTTGGTAGCTCTTCATTTTGTGTAAATAAACATTCAACCGGTGATAAATAGATCGCCAAATCAGAAGCTTATTAAATTATCAACCAAGGAATTGAAACAGACGCACTAAAAGGAAAAGTTTATTTGATAGCTTTACAAGCATTTTCTTTCTGTGATCTAATTTGTTACAGACTCTTTATTCACACAAGATGCCATGCGTCATAGTTTCTGTTATTGATATTTTAAAGGTCTGATTGATTTGGCACTTGTATAGGGTTGCTGGAATAGCAACTTCTTAAAAGAAAACTTGATTTATTTTTTTAAGCACTTCTACTCGTGCTATTATTGCGATTGGGGTCACTTGTTCTGAACAGAGTTTATACTGGGTAAATGGGTATGAACGTGATATGAATTGGCTTTGAGGGCTTTGAGCCTTTGGAGTATGCGGGGGCATGAGTTGGTATAGTTGGGGCAATTGAAAATGGGCAAGGGCATGTGAAGGCTTGAGAACTTAATATTTGACAAAATAAATGGGATAAAGTCACAGAGATCTATGGCAAGTCATTTGAACAGCCTGCCTTAAGCACTTGACAACTGTTGTTGCAGTCTCTGATCTGTGTGCGGGGATGCAGGACTGGCTGTATCTCTTAGCTGTGCACCATTATACCCCAACGAAAATTTTGCCATTTGGGAAACTTCCTTGAAGTTGCAGTGACACATGTGCAGTTTCCCAACTGGAGCTACTGACATCAATGGTGACAATCGTGTCCTATTTCCATGCTTTTTGCGTGGAAAAAGCATGAAAACGCAAAACCCGGTGCAATATGCAAACATCATCAAACTTCTGACCTGATATTAATATGAAGCAAAGCTTTTACTTGTTTTGTTTTACAACTTCATCTGCTTGTTGCTAAACATTGCAAACTTTTAGCCGTTGTGGACCAATGCCTCTGGAATTTGCAGTGGATGAAACCATTCTACAGTTGTTGCGTTCTGCATGTGAATTAGACTTAATTTAATGTATTGACATGCCACTGGATTGAATAGTTTCTGCAAGCCTCGACAAATTTTCATTCAAATAATGTTACATGTCTTGTATTATTCATCTGGTCACTCTGACATGCAGGACTTGCCAGGCTTCTGATTTATGGATAATGTTGTTGTCACTATGACACAATCGTTGAGTAAATTAGGAGGTATTATTGATTTTACAGGTACTATGTAATATTTATATTTTGTACAAACCGTACAGTATGGAAAGAGGCCATTCGGCCCATCAAGTCTGCATCAACATTCTGAAGAGCATCCCACCCAGATCCAGCCTTCTACCCTATCCCCATTACCTTGCATTTACCATGGCTAATGCACGTCTTTGGATACTGTGGGGCAATTTACCATGGCCAGTCCACCTAACCTGCATATCTTTGGACTGTGGGAAGAAACCAGAGCACCTGGTGAAACCCACACAGATAGTCACCGAAGGCTAGAATCAAATACAGGTCCATGGCAGCTGTGAGGCAACAGTGCCAACCACTGAGCCACTGTGCTGCTCATGACCCAAATTCCCAAGCTTTTTGTCCTGGGAACTAAAGTACTTCATGTGCTGTAATGATTAATAGATACTTGCTTTATTAACCTAGAGCCAAGTACCATGCTAATCAGAAAATGACTTTCAAATTTACATGCAGGTAATGTTGCAGAGGTGGAGAAAGGTAGCCTTGGTGTTGGAGTGGATGTAGTTCTGAAAACTTTTGCTTACTCTTAAACCGAATGCTGAGATGCATGCCACTCGGCCTAAGTTGACAGTTAATAAGTCAAACATGCATAAGTATTTCCTGACCAGTGAAATCTCTAAGCTGCATGTTACAGGGAGAATTTGAGTGAGAAAAGGACAGTTTGAACGCAATATTATTTGAACGCTATATTTTTTTCAGTGGGTCCTGACGAGGAGGAAAGTGAACAAGTAAAGGCCCTTCAGCAGCTTCATGTGACGATGCCTGAGGGTCCATCATTAATCACAGTACTGAAAGATAAAGAAGAGCGACGCAAATTAGGTATGCATTGGCAATGATTTTACAAGACAAAATATGTCACTATATTTTTTCGAATAAGTTAATGGTGTCTCACCTACCTCTGAACAACATGGACAATGGGAAAATATGAGATTCTCGCTGTTGAGAAAAATGTCCAATTTCCTGCTTAAGGGTTCAACACTTAAATGGGAACCTTGCTAGTGAGTGGCCTATTTACACGCATTAACAGCTCACTATTACCTATATGTCGCTTGCTGAAGGTGAAGGAAATCGCAGATGGGAGGTGCAGAGACAGATTTCATCAAAAAATGCACATTTGAAATTTAGAAGTGATGAGAAGTTAATGTAGGTTATTGATGACAGTATATAGGTGACAATATTTTAAGAAACTGAACTTTCCAAGATAGCGGTTGGGAAGGCCAGCTTGTATAAATGAGAATGTTCAAGCGTGTTGCTTACAAAAATGTAGGGTTTCTAAAGCAATGACCTGAGGTCAGGGTGGAACCAGACATGTTCTTTGTATGGGTTTTCTTTTTATTGTATGTTCAGCATCTGCTTGGACTAAGATTAGTTTAGCATCAATCTTGGGGAGAATGCTGGAGTATTCAAGAGAAATACATAAAAAAGCAGACTGAGCAGGACTCCATGAAGGGGAAAATTATGCCTGACCAATTCATTAAAGGTTCTGTGAGGAGTTAAAAAGCAAGATAGATAAAGGTGAACTAATAGATGTGATACATTTCAAACACCTTTTAGAAATTAAAATATATCACATGCAAAGCTACTAAATAAAATTAGAGACCGTGATGTTGAAGGTTATAAATTAACAGAGGATTGGCTAAATAATGGATAAAGGCGGCATTTTAAGTATTGAAATCTGTAGCTAGTGGGGAGCCACAAGGATCCATGCTGGGGCCACAATAATTTGCAATATATATTAATGGCTTGAATGCCAGAATGAATGTAGTTATGCCAAGTTTATGAATACCACAGATATGTGGGGATGCAAGTTTGTGGATGACACAAAAATAGATGGGAAGGCAAGTCCTGAAGATGACAGAAAAAGTCTATGGAGAGATTTAGACAGGTTTCATGAGTAGGCAGAAACTTGGCAGATGGGAAAATGCGATATTATGCACTTTGGCAGGAAGAATAGAAGAATAATATAAATGCAGAAAGACTGCAAAAAACTGCAGCATCCCGGGAGTTTGTGCATGAGTCACAAAAAGCTAATATCCAAGTTTAGCAGGTAATAGGGAAAGGAAATTAATTTTTGGCCTTTATTTCAAAGGAAATGGAGTATAAACATAGGGTGGCCTTGTTAAAATTGTACACGACACTAATCAGCCTACATCTAAAATATTGTGAGCAGTTTTGAACCCCTTATCTAAGGAAACATTTACTGACATTGGAGGTGGTCTAGAGAAGGTTCACAAGGTTAATTCCAGTATGGAAGAATTGTCTTATGTGGAGAGGTTGAGTTGGTTGGGCTTGTACTCATTGGAGTTTAGAAGTATCAAAGGATACCTTATTGAAACATACACTTAGGCAGTTTAATAGGGTAGATGCAGAGAGGTTATTTCCTTGGAAAGAATCTAGGACCAGAGGGCATAGTCTCACACTGATATTTGGCCCATTTAAGACAGATGAGGAGGAATTTCTTCTCTGAGGGAAGTGAATCTGTGGAATTCTTTACTGAAGAGGGCTGTCAGGGCAGGGTTGTTAATCTATTCATGGTTGAGATAGACTTTTAATCCATAATGGAATCGGTGCTTGTGGGAATAAGGTTGGAAAATGGAGTTGAGCAACTCGGGCATGATCTTGTTGACTGACAGTGTAGACTCAATGAGATGAATGGCCTACTTCTGCTCCTGTGTCCTTTTAGTCTAAGGTTAGAGGTTTGAAACATTTAATCTCAATCCATGGTCTGAGTTAATGTCGTCTTTGGTCGAGTAAGTGGAGGCAGTACGGAGTGACCTAGGGAGGGAAAGTAAACCTTGGATTGTGTTTGTAGTTGTTGACAATGATCACTTTACTTCACTAGTGCATCCATTCCAGGAACACCGCATTGAGTTTAGCTGAATGCATTCTTTAATGAAGAATGGATATTTTGGGTACTTCAAGTAGTGGAGCCATTACTGCATGTTCATTTCTTTAGAAAGTGAATGGAGAGAAACAGCTGGAATGGGGGAAGAGGGAAGGAGAAAGTGGAAGAAAACCAAAACTAACCATTTAGTTTAGTTTGATTTACTTTGCCGCTTCCAAAAACACATTTTTTTGTTTCAAGGAAAATTAATAGCTTTGTATAATTTGTTACTTTACATACGTAAAATAAATAAGATTATTTCATATGATATAACAAGGTGTAGAGCTGGATGAACACAGCAGGCCAAGCAGCATCAGAGGAGCAGGAAAGCTGACGTTTCGGGTCTGGACCCTTCTTCAGAAAATGGTTTCATGTTTGCTTTGCAGCAGTACAATCAAATAGTTTTGATGTCTTAGGGGAATAAAAAAGATCATTGTTTCACTTAATGTCAGAATAATCCCATATTACTCAAGAGAACGCTGTCAACAATATGTTAGGACAATGTACAAATTTCCAATTTATGACCCTCCGTGCCATCTGCTATTTCCAGAATTCTCAGTATTCAGTGCCACCTAGTGTGCTGAAACAGAATTACAGTACTGTTAAGATTAAAAACAAATGCTCGAGTCTTCCAATCTCTTTCGGAATTCCTATTTCCAGCCCGGATCAGACAAAATTTATCTTTGTATCTTTGCATGATTTTTTTGGGCTTGACTTCTCATGCAGGATCCATCCCAAGAGACACAAGTCATACCCACTTAAGCAGTACTTACTGTGTTCAAAGTAGTAAAATGTTTAAAGGTCTCGAAGCCACTTTGACACGCTACTGAGGGAAGCTAGGGCTAGGGCAGCAGGTAAGTGATGGCTTATAGGTGGCAGGTAAGTGGGTGGGGGTGAGGTTTCAGGAAGGCTGTCAATTTTAAAGTTAGTGAAGAGTTACATTAGGTTAATTTTTCAAACATTTCCTGACTAACTGTTAAAGTGAGTCAGCAGGAACCCTCCAAAGTCTCCAACTCAACTCAGAGTGGGAACATTTTCAGAGAGTGCCAATCATCAATTTCCAATCGTTCATCAGAAGTTTAAGTTTCTGAGTTATTTACTGTGTAATCATTGTGTCGTGACCTCTGAGAAGACCCAATGTGCATTTTTAAGACTACATACAGTCTTCAACTATCCACAGAATGGAAAATCTGAGCCAAACAATTGACAAAGACGGCAGAATCATGTTGCAGTGGTGGTTGTCCTGACTGTGAGGCCAAAATTGAACAGGACTTCCTCGTGGAGATGGGATGCTGGTTATGTGGCAGCACAAAATCTATGCAGAACGAGAGGGAACGGTCAGTTATTAATGGGTCTGTGTAGAAAATCACTGACCCTGCTGTTACCATCCAGTGGTTGGTTGAGTGTTTGAGGGCCATCTATAAAAGTCACCCAGAGAAGCTTTCACTCCCTGCACCTGTCAGTTGGCTTTTACCTTCACTCCATAACGCCAGTTGTGCCTTCTGTGACTCTTGAGCCACCTGCCATCAGCTTTGTTTCATGTTTGTCAACCTAGAGATGCCCTAGTTTTTATCGAGCTGACCCTCAGAACTCTGGGATTGTCTCCATCACACTTGACTTCCCGGCCATCATCCTCATCCCTCTCTGTCTGCCACTGTTGACCTGCTGTCAATCTTCCTTGATCTGTACACTGACGTACTTGTCAGGGATTGATCTTTCCACTGTATTCCAGCCCTTTCTGTATGCCTCCCAACAACGCTTTTCAAGGTTGCCTTCCCTTGGCCAGATATTCCTTGATCTCCATGGACACTGGCCAATCTGAACGTTCAGTCTTCTCTGTTCCAGTCCCACAAAGTTCCCTGTATAAGAAAAGTGGTTCCTGCTCACTTCAAATCCACCAGGAAGACTAGTATCTGTGCTCCGTACTATCTTCAGTCAGTTGTTATTCTGAAGACACGTTTCTTGTTTGCTGCTGACTCTCAAAGGTACAATTTAATGTGGTGACCATCTATTTTAATGAATGCATGACATGTTAATTCATTAAAAATAGGTTCTTGCCACTTATCATTGGGAGCATGATCTGATTTTCTCACCTTTCATCCAAAGTCAGGAAGCTGACATGTTGCCACTTGCAAATTCAAGTGTCCCCATCTATTTTTGCCTGCTCCTGGGAGCTCCACTAGAATCTCTCCACAAACTGCAGATCAGGACTTCTGGTATTGAAATGTTAATGCATAATTTTGTTGCTACAGATGCTGACTGAACTGTCATAATTTTCAGTGTTGTTTTTAAAGTTTTGTTCACACTTCCTTGTTATTTTGCCTGTCTAACTGAATGCAATATCGTTGGCAAGGCCAGATGATGAAAAACAGATTTTTGAACATTCTCGTTATTTCATTATAAGATACAGGAACAGAAGTTGGCCATTCAGCCCATCAAGACCACTCCTCCATTCATAGCTGAAATAATAATCCTTAACTCCACTTTACCCCTTTATTCCCAGTCATATATACTTGCTGACATGGCCTTGACTACCACCTGTGATTAAAGAATTCCACAAAATCACTACACACTAACAGAGGAGAATTTCTCTTCTCCTGAGCCTTAAATGGACAACTCCTTTCTCTGAGATAGTGTAGGGCCACAGGACAGTCAAACAAGGGGAAACAACATCTCCACAACTACCCTGTCAAGCCCTCTTTAAAAACTCATATGTTTTGATAAGGTTTCATCTCATTTTTCTAAACTCCAGAGAGTCCAAGCCCAACTTAGTGAACCTCTCCTCATGAGAAAATCTCTCCATATCTGGAATCAATCTGGTGAACCTCGACTGGACTGCCTACTATGCTAGTATATGCTTCTAATTTTATTTAGATGAACTAGTGAATAATTATGACCTAATCAGAGAAATTATGGTTTGCTTAGCACTACAATATTTGAAAACTGATCTAATAGTAACTCATCAGCAATATATTATTTTCCTTAATCTTTGGGGTTACAATGCATCTCCGAATTCATTGTTAGACAGCACTGGAGAATGATTCTGGGTTAATTGAGTCACTGATTTCACTTCCGCCTTTCTCTTCTCACGGTGATATAGCTGAAACTGGGTACTTGGGACGGTGTGATGAACCTTTATCCTGAAGTACATTGTATATATTGAAAAAAAAAATTACAACAGTCCTTCTCGTGGCTTCACTGAAAATAGTTGTAGAATTTGTACCAGGTTACTGATATTGATGTGACTACCAGCAGCCAGGTCAAGACTGTCCAAAGCTAATTTCACCATTTCTGATCCCCAAAGTTTGAAGATGGAATTAAAATCTGTTTGTCAGTCAATATTTGGCACTCACTTGAGTGCATGAGGTGAGTGGACCATGTGAGCCTCACTAATGTCCTACTGACATGCAGCTTGGTTTAAGTAATCACGGCAATAAGTGTTCTTCTACCTCTTTAACCCTAGCACCTTTCTTCATTTTGATAGGGAAGGCTCATTTGAAGAAAGCAATAATTAAACACGAAGAAGCAATGAGGATTCACAGTCTTTGTAGGATTCTGAGGAAGATGGATATCCTGCAAGAGGTGCTAGCTATTGTCCACAAACGATCACTGAAAAAGTACTCTGAAATTGATCGTGAGGATGACTTTTTTGATACTATTGAAGCTCCAGAAATTCATCGTAAGTTAGTATTTTTTGTAATGATGAGTTGCCAATATTCGATAGTCCTGCCATGTACAGAAAATGAAGGGAATAGTATCTGAATCTGACCTCTTCAAAACTTAACATAATAATTTCAAGTGGATTGGGTTCTGAATGGGCCTTATAGGTATTGGGGTCCCATAGTGTAGTGTTTATGGAACAATTCAGAGATCAAGTTTCACCACGGTCAACCGAAATGGAATTCACTCAATTTGGTATCGTAAATTTGTGGTCTTCAGCAGAAGAACAGGCTGATGAATGTCCACTAGGCATGGTAAGCTATTACTTCAGTCTGACTTTCACAGGACTTCAGTAGCATAGAATATGGTTGATTCTTTATATCTTCTGATGTGAGTTAGCAAGTCATTCGATGTAGCTGAAAAACAATGAATTGTACTAAAGAGCATACAGAAGAAGTTTACAAGGATGTTGCTGGGATTGGAAATTGTATCCATGAGGAAAAGTTAGATTGGTTTGCTTTCCTCAGAAACAAGGAATCAGAATGGAGATTTGATTGATGTGTACAACGTTGTGAGAGACCTTGATAGAGTGGATAGAAAGGACTCAATTCTTTTAACAGAGGATATCAATGATCAGAGGAATAGATGTGTGATTAGCCAAAGGTAAGAGGGGGAAATTTTGTTTTGCCCAGAGGATTGGTAGGACACTGAAACTTACTGCCTCAGCTCAAATAAAATGTGTCTGGATATGTACCTCCAGTCCTATAATCTCCTGGGTTAAGAGCTGGAAAATGGAATTAGAATGGTTGGCTTATTTTGTAGCTAGCACAAATCTAATGGACCAAGTAGCCTCCTTCTATGCCATAAAGCCATTTTCTACATTTTGTAAATATATGAAGAAAAGGAACCTGCAGGGATGTGGAGAGGGACTGGGGGAGTGACAATACATGAATTGTTATTTAGTAGGGCAAACATAGATTGGGTGGACTTCTTTGAAAAAGGTTCTGTTGTTCTGTGAATAGAACTGTTCCAGCATTAGCACACGGTCTGAGAATAAATAAGACAGAAGGAGTACAATAATAGTGTTTTTCACTTATGCAGCACACTGCCAGTGTCACTTAATAATATAAATAATGGCTGTTGTAAGATAAAAGCATTTCCATGCATGAGTTTCCCTTTTAACTATTCATTGGTAGGGTAAGTCTCAAAGTTACTCTAGCTAGAGTATGTATTTCTGCTCTGGAAGAACACCTCTTTACTGGACTGGTGTGGTTTCCACACACCCTTTCATACCTCTGATCCTTCATACTTCCATTCTAATAATTAATTCAGTACCAAATTTTTGATCATTTTCTCAATCTTGCTATTGAAAATAGCATTTTCTCAATCTTGCTATTGAAAATTTCAATTCTTCTAGCATTTGCAGCCTTTTAGGGAAAAATTCTAAATCAAATCTGACAAAACTGATCCTGTGTAGGACCCTGTATAGGAAAAGGAGGTTTCCCATCTGAACTGAACCTGGATCTTGGAGGCAGAGGGACAGCAACATGCACCTGATCACCCATTTATAGTCATTTTCTTAAAGTGGAGAGAGAAAATATGGTTTCTGTATACTGCACATTCTATAAATAAGTGACATTCACCTGTATTGACTTTCCTTTGCAGCAAAAACACAGCAGAAGCCAGAAATTAAAACTCCAAACTTCTCCAAGGTGAAAGTCACTGATATTTTTCACAGATTGGTAAGTGTACTGTTCATTCATCACAGAATTCTGCATTAATTTTTAACGTATAATTTCTTAATGTAATTAGTGAAAACCTTTCATCATTGCATTCTTTGGCCTTTAATGTTATTCAACTAAAATTTATAAGGCTAGAGAGAAGCTATTAACACAACAGTCCCTCTCTCTTTTTTTTCATAGATTTAATCCCACCAACCTGCCTTTTATCGCAACCATAAATCCATTCACTTTCCAGAAATTGATCCAGATTATATTGTATTCAGATTACGACTTGAATTCAGTTTTCTTTATTCGTAGCTTCCTAATTTAACTTGTACCAAATGATATTTGATCCTTTCACCATAGTTGCTTCAGAATTTGCATCCTTGTTCCCCAGTACTCCATGATCTTATCCATCCCTTCTCTGTAACAAAAGTGGAAATTGCTGGAAAAGTTCAGCAGGTCTGGCAGTATCTGGAGAGAAATCAAAGTTAATGTTTCGAGTCGAGTGACCAAACTCTATAATGTCCTGTAGCTCTATAACCCTCAAACATCTGCAGTTCACCTTTCTTGGCCTCTTGAACACCCCCAATTTTGATTTACTGTTGGTGTTAAAGGTCCTATATGAATGCAAATTTTGTGTTTTTATTGATAATTTTTATAATTTCAATTTGTTCACAGGACTAATGGGAACAACTTCATATCATAGCATCATCATCTACCAAAATATAATTAGAGATCATCCTAAGTGCATTTATAAACAATAAGACTTTCTTTATTCTTGCTTTTCCCCCCTTCCCTTTTTAGGGGCCTTTGTCAATTTTCTCTGCCAAGAACCGGTGGACACCAGCCAGACATGTTCACCTAAAGAAAAGCGAAAAAGGATTTGGATTCACTCTACGTGGAGATTCACCCGTCCTTATTGCAGGTGTTGTTCCTGATGGCTGTGCAGATGTAAGCATGCTTTATTTCATGCATGACACACTCGTTGTTGTATCCCTGTATTTATACAGTCTTTTTAAAAAAAAGTATTATTTTTTCAAAAATGAATAAAGCTGAAGGAAACACTTTGCAGTTAAACACATATTAAAGAAGCCATTCAACTCAACCAGTCTGTATCAGTGTATGTCCCCCACATGAGTACATGTAGTTCTCCTATAACGCGATAACTCGTTCTTGCGTGACCTCACGCTATAGGAAATCACCATAGAAGTTTGTGTTGAAGGGAAATCACTATAGAAAATTGCTATACCCTTACAGCAGAAAGTTCGCGTTATCCAAACAGCGTCCACTATTCATCGCTCACATTACAGCCAATTTGCATTAATGAAACAGACATTGTAGCAGAACTACCTGTAGATAGTTCAGATTATGCCCTTTTACCAATATCTAGCTCATTGATATCAGTGTCAAGAGGAGCAGGGGTCCAAAAGTCAATCCCTGGTGAACTCCACAAGAAGCCTTCCTTCAGTCTAAAAACCAACCGTTCACTGTTTTCTTCTCTGTTACTCAGATATTATATCCATATTGCCACTGTATCTTTTAATCTACGGCTGTCCAATTTTGTTCACAAGCCTGTCCTACAAAACTTTATCAAATAGCTTTTGGAAATCCAGTTACACCACTTCAATAACATAACCCTTATCAGACCCCTCTGTTACCTCATCAAAAACGCAAGCAAATGAGTTGAATGCAATTTGCCCTTAAACCATCTATGCTGGTTTTCCTTAACTAACCCACATTTGTCCAAGTGACTATTGACATTTGTTGCATAACAAAGTGCTGGAGAACCAGAGTTGATGTTTCAAGGCCAATGCAACTCTTCAGTTCCAAAGTATCTATGTATCGCATCCAGTCTAATTCCTCATCAAGTTTAAGCATAGATAGCTTATTCAATATCACCACCCTATTAGTTAGAAATCTTTCAATTATCTGAACAGTCTGTTCTTTCATCATGACATGGGTGGCATCTTCTAACTTGGCTGGGAAATTGTATCGGGCTTTACCATGCCCCTTGCTTTCGTAGAAGGCAGGGAGGCAACATATCATCCTGAAATCGTATCTGCAGTTGAAAAATGCCTGCCTGTAAATACTGTCATTCATGCTGTTCTCACTTCTTGACCCATGAAACATTTTCGTAAAATTCTGCTGTTGTCCCTCAACTGTCTTTTGTTATGAAGCTGTGGGGTGGGGTGCAGGGTGAACCCCTCTGATAATTAAACAAAATCCATTTTCTGAAGGAGGGTCTAGGCCTGAAACATCAGCTTTCTTGCTCCTCTGATGCTGCTTGGCCTGCTGTGTTCATCCAGCTCTACACCTTGTTATCTCAGATTCTCCAGCATCTGCAGTTCCTACTTTTCTCTGATACAATTTTAACCCCACTGCGAACCCTTTCCTTCCTGCCTGTTCTTTCAAAAAGTTGCATACCCCTGTGTTTTTATTTCCCAGTTTTGATCTCCTTGTATCATTATCTCTACAATGGCTATGAAATTATACCCATTGATCTGTATTTGTTAGTTAATTTAACCACTTTGTTCCGAATACTATGTGCATCCAAGTAAAGAGTCACTAATTTTACCTTTTTGCTTTGTCTCCTTTTGACCCCATTTACTGCTGTTTTTCTGTGTTTGTATACTCTGTCCTCCTTATCCACTCTGGGTATCATTGTTCTGCTTTACCTAACTCTTAATTTATTTTATAATAAGGGTTTTTAGTTCTGAGCTCCTTAGATTAACTTAAGGGAAAACAAAATTTTGATATTCACTAGCCTTCCTGCGATGTCTCAGTTTGATTTTTATTTAATCTCTCCTCGTCACTTCAGTAATCATGTCTTATTTCACATCTTGTTTCACACTCCACCTCCCCCGCCCCAGGTCTGCTTCACAGAAGTGAACTGCAGCACACTCCTCCTAATGTATTCTTCAATGTCTCAGTGATTTGCTGACACTTTTGGTTAAATTTCACAGCAGGGTGAACTTAGGGTACACCAGGATCTTGATCAGATGGGCCGATGGGCCAATGGGCCGAGGATGGCAGATGGAGTTTAATTTAGATAAATGTGAGGAGCTGCATTTTGGAAAGGCAAATCAGGGCGGGACTTGTACACTTAATGGTAAGGTCCTGGTGAGCGTTGCTGAACAGAGAGATGTTGGAGTGCAGGTTCATAGTTCCCTGAAAGTGAAGTCACAGGTAGCCAGGATAGTGAAGAAGGTGTTTGGTATGCTTGCCTTTATTGGTCAGTGCATTGAGTGTAGGAGTTGGGATGTCATGTTGCGACTGTACAGGACATTGCCACTTTTGGAACACTGCATGAATTCTGGTCTCACCGCTGCAGGAAGGATGTTGTAAAACTTGAAAGGGTTCAGAAAAGATTAACAAGGACATTGCCAGGGTTGGAGGATTTGAGCTTTAGGGAGAGGCTAAATAGACTTGGGGCTATTTTCCCTGGAGTGTCAGAGGCTAAGAGGTGACCTTATAGAGGTTTATAAAATCATGAGGGGCATGAATAAGGTAAATAGACAAGGTCTTTCCCAGGGTGGGAGTCCAAAACAGAGGACGTAGGTATAAGGTGAGAGAGAGGCTGAATAGACTGGGGCTATTTTCCCTGGAGTGTTGGAGGCTGAGAGGTGGCCTTATAGAAGGGCATGGTTAAGGTGGATAACCACTTCCCCTGGGCTGTCCAAAACTAAAGGTGAGAGAGGAAAGATTTAAAATGTACCTAAGGGGCAACTTTTTCATGTAGAGGGTGGCGCATGTATCCAATGAGCTGCCAGAGGAAGTGGTGGAGGTTGGTATAATTACATCATTTAAAAGGAACCTGGATGGGTATATGAACAGGGAGAATTTAGAGGCATATGGGCCAAATGCTGTCAGATGGGACTAGATTTATTTGGGATATCGGGTCAGCATGGACAAGTTGGACTGAAGGGTCTGTTTCCATACTCTACAGCTCTATGACTATATGACTTAACATGGGAAAGGCCGAAATGTTGAACCTTGACGGTGTCCTATATTGTAAGCCTAGGTTTTTTTTACTGTTGTTCATTTTTTTAAAAAAAAAAATTGAATAGATCAAGTTATATTCCGAGTTTGCTGCTGTTGCTTGATTCCAGAAATTCTCTGTTTCTGTTATTTTTTTTTTCCCCACTTCCTGACCTGATTTTACTGAGCTATCTCCTATTAAATTGAATAGTAATCTGTTCCATACTGTTGCCAATCCAATTTAGTCAAGTAAGTTGGAATGACTCATTTTGTTGATTAAAAACAAATTTGCCTCCTCTGGGAAATTGATAAATTTTGCTACAATTTCTCTTGAAGTAGATGAAATTCTCTGTGGGGAATTACATATGTGAACTCAAATTTGGCCATCATGTTGTGACGTATTTTGCATTAGTTGGTGCAACACTGTGTTGGTTCCAATTTATGATCATTTTGCTGCATTGTAATAATAAGTAATAAATTGAAATTGACATGTACTTTGTTAACTTTTCTTAGGAAGCTGGTCTCCGAGAAGGAGATTACCTTGTGTCAGTGAATGAACAAGATTGCAAATGGTCCAAGCACACTGATGTAGTTCAGTTATTGAAAAATATCAGTACAGAAGGTGTCAGTATTGGGGTGATAACCCTAACTACCTCTGAGCAACAGAACAATGTAAGTGTTTACCATTATAGATGTTTTATTTATTGATTTTTAATTGAGCTAGTTCTTTAAGTCACTGGTATTATTTGGTTATCATCATGCGTAAAAGATCATTGCCTAGGTAAGTTATCTATAGTCACTTATTTGGAAACCTACAGCAAAACTGCATGTTTGGGACTGAATTTAATTCTGATGGTAATGACCCTAATGCAGCTGGAATGTCTTGGGGAGCCTCCACCTATTTCTGCAGCCAACTGGCAAGTAATTCCCTATTGTCAGGGCTCCATCTCTTTAGGTTTGGAGATATCACTTTGAAGAGCTGTTTGGAGGGTCTGCAGTTCTCCAGTCCCAGCAGCGATACTGGAGCAATAAGCAAAACTGGACTGTGCCCAGGTCAGAGAACAAGCAGTACCGTTACCAAGAAACTTGGTGAGTGAGATCAGGATAGCCCAGGCCAATCAGTCACTGCTGAAGCTGGAGGTCATGCTTCCACAGGGGAAGCTTTTGCTGTCTGTATCCCCTTCATGGACTGCAATGTGCCTGATAAGGAGAGAAACTTCTCCCTCCAAATTCTCAGAGGCTGCCAGCTTTTGCTGGGCAGTCTCTTTTTGCAAGTGATTTAAGTAGCCAAATAGGGACCTCAACCTGTCTCTGATAAGAAGGCTGTCTTGACATTCCCTGATGTAGACATACTTGTTTGAAGTTGGGAAGGTTCCACACACTCCATCCCCTCTCTTCTATTTGTTTTCCACAGCCCTTCCCTCTCCACAAACCCCACCCTCACAGCTCCCTTCCCTTCCTGGGATACATTAATTAGTCCTAGTAGTTGGTATCTGTACAAATAGCTGTTGCCTGCATACACTGGCCAAAACAAAATACAATTCTACTTTGTCCTAAATTATTCTAAAATTTTAAAGCTTGCTTTATTGAGCCATTATAGGTGGTGACTGAGCGCAGTATCGGACCTGGTTCTAAGTTAGATGAAAAATCGGCACAAGTCCCTGTCATTGCTATTCTTTGATCCTGGCCGAGTGTTAAATGTGAAAATGGTTTGGCTAAATGCTGACCTCTTCCAGAGTATAAATAATTCTCCAACATTTCATATCTGGATATGGCAGGAAGAATGGCCAGTTGGGGAAAGCTAATAGAGAGAGCGCACACACATTCTGATCAATCCTTGATCTTGGTCTAAAAGTTAAGGAGTCTTGAGAACTACTCCTTCCACTTAATCTCTGCAAATTGTCCTGATATTTCACTTGCTGCTATAGGGGATTAGTAGATGACTTCCTCTTGACCCCTCTCCTCATTGGCATTAGTGAAATTGACTGTGCGCTGTCTCATAAATCAAGGAGTTGAATGTATATCCAACCACTTAGTGATGTAAAGTTACAGCTCCAATGTAGTGTGCCTAGTGATGTTTGAATTTAGCTTTTTTTTCCCCCTAAAAAAGGTTCCACTCATAGTCTTTTCCACTAGCCATGGTTGTATTGGCTGACATATATTGTTAGCTTGATTTTTATAAAATGATCAACCTTATTTTCAAGTTTTTCAAGGTCTCCATAATCTCATCCAACCCTGTAATCCTCGGAAATGTCTGCACTCGTCACTTATGGCCTTTTTGACATCCCTGCACCATTGATGACTATCTCAGCTCACAATGTCTGAAACTCGTGATTTCACATCATGAAACTCCAGCATATTCACACTTTTTTTCATCCTTTATGACATACCTTCAAAATTTTCCACTTTATCAAGTTTTTGGCCAGCTGCTGTAACATCTTCTCCTGTAGTCTGGTAGCACTGTCCTATTTTATAATACTCCTCTGAAGTGCTTTTGGATATTTTTTCCTACATCAAACACGCTGTAACAGTTGTTCTATTAGATTGCAAGTCTGCCAAACTCATCAAATAAGCTAGCACTTGGAAAATTTCAGGGCATTTTTTATTTGATAGTCTTTTCACTTAACGGTTTGCCAGAGGTGTTTACCATTCTGTTTTCCTTTCCAGCAGGCTGACAGAAAATCACTTCTAGGTACAATGTCATCAACAAGCATCTTCTCTGGGAATGATAAAGAGAACAGCAAGAAAATTGCTGATTCGAGCAAAGGTTCAGGTTTGCTGCTCACCTGGAACAAGAAGAAGAATACAAACAAGGATGGCAGCACTCACCGCTTACCTGTCATTGCTGTAACGGACGATGGATCATTCTATTGAAGAGTTTTGTCACTCCTAATTTATGAGAATTATTCACCGCAAACATACCCATCTCAGCTAAGGACGCCGAATTTTTTTTTTTTTTTTTAAAACGTTCATCTCATTTGAAGCCGTATAAATCATGAACTACAAGA